ATGCTATCCTTCAGGAAAGTGACTCATTGTGCCTTGAAGGGTAAACGTTTTCAGCTGACATGAAATGAAAAGACTATATCGTATCCATTGCTAGGTCAGCTGCTAAGAAAGTTGGTTCACTGTGTCGGCCAAGACAGTTTTTCTCTCCGGAATCTATCTAGCATATTTATAAGTCTGCCATTGCTTAGAATGTTACTGCCATATATTGTCCGGTAGCCCTGTGATTTACATTGATAATATCCAAAGAAGAATAAGCAATATTATTGGTCCTGATCTGGCAGCTCGGCTTCAGTCACTTTCTCACAGCTGTAAGGTTGTCTCTCTGTGCCGTTTTTTATAAATACATTCATGGTAATTTTTTGGATGAGCTTTTCGCTATGGTACCTAGACTTTATGAATTTGATCGCAATACTAGACTGCTAGTGAGACGTCATCAATTCACAGTTGAACTATCTAGATGCCGCCGTAACTTCTACGCTATCAGCTTCTTTTTTTTTTATCTCGCACCTCTCGCTTGTGGAACCCCCTTCCGGTTCCAGCCAACTTTAATCTGAAAGAATTTAAATACAAGACCAATCGCTATCTACTGTCCTCTTGAATGCTCTTTTCTCTTTCCACTAATTGCTAATGTGTCTGTTCTGTGGCATAGCAGTGCCTGCTTTTGGGTACCATTTCTTGGCTACTCAAAGGCTTATGCTGGCGAAAGAATAGACAGTGAGAGAAACACCTTGTAGCCCCTTGCATGTTAGTGGTTGTACTGCCTTGCTTGGAGTAACATTGGTTAAAAAAAAAAAAAAAATCTAAATCCTTGTGTTTTTTTTTTGGAGGCGGGGTAGTTGACCTCTTAACCTATTTATTTGGTACTTACTTTTTTCAAATAATAGAGGCAATGTTTGGCAATACATTCTGTACCCGATTGCTTTTATCTCTATAATTTCTTATACAGTGTAACCCGGATATAAGAGACCCGGATATAAGAGAAACCCGGATATAAGAGAGATTTTCTCTGCTCCCAAATTAGAGCCTGTGTTAATGTACAGTGTAACCCGGATATAAGAGACCCGGATATAAGAGAGATTTTCTCTGCTCCCAAATTAGAACCTGTGTTAATGTACAGTTTAACCCGGATATAAGAGACCCGGATATAAGAGAAACCCGGATATAAGAGAGATTTTCTCTGGTCCCAAATTAGAGCCTGTGTTAATGTACAGTGTAACCCGGATATAAGAGAAACCCGGATATAAGAGTCTTCTTCTCCGGTCCCGACAACTCTCTTACATCCGGATTACACTCTAATTATCAAACTTTTTGGATAGCGACTGATATTTAACTAAACATAATTTTGTGCAAGAATATCGTCTGTCCTGCACTGTTGGACGAAGAGAACATAGCATTTTCGATGTACAGAGTCGTACGTGATAGTATCACCTGTTATTTTCGAAGATGACTCATTTTTTTCTCTTATACGCAGTGTCTCTTCCGAACGTTGGCAATGATGTCTATTCACAATTTCCTGTCTTTGTCGCTTGTATTTCTTAATAAATTGTATCTTTTTCTTATCTCCCCCCAAAACCTTTTTTACCCACCCCATTTTCTCAACCTACCTAGGTAGGTTAAGCGCTGTTTCCATCTGTACCTGCAGTCTCCCCTGTTAGGATAAAGTTTTCCAAGCACTCTTTCCACATTATGGGCCCTAGAAATGTCAGCTGACTATTCTTGAAATTAAGAATATAAGCGTCTTTCTTGTTTCTATTTTCTGTAAAACTTTGTTGCTATTCATTTATTCAGTCTATGTTTTTCTCAAAATCATTCTGTAGAAGCATATTTCTATTACTTTAAATCTCTTCTTCATCTCTTGAGGGGAGGGGATTGTCCAGTATTCACTCCTATGTAGGGGAACTGCTATTGCATAACTGTTCAATATCCTTCTTTTTTTTCAGTATGGTTGATTTCTAGTAAGCAAGCGTTGGTCCCGTGCAGCAAGAGTAAAACCTTTGGTTTCAGATTTTAACCCTTCACTACGTAGCTGCTGATGGATACTGTGTTTGTCTACATCAGGTTGTCTGCTACGGGAAGAGTATTGAACACGAACAGGCTTGTCTGGCCATCGTTTCTGTATAATGTAATCTTTAGTAGCTCTGACATGCTGAGGTGTCGAAGAATTTTACTTGCATGATTTTTGGTACCCTTCTTTATCATACCCGATGCCTCTATCACAAAAGGGATAATCGTAGTTTTAAGTTCCCACATTTTTGTTACTTCGCTTTGCAGGTCCTTATCCTTTGACAGATTTTGAAATTCTTCTTTTACAAATATTGGAATCCTGTGGGAAAGTCATATCAATTAGTCAGCAGATTCCTTTTTTTAAAATCTTTTATGACTATGACTGGTCTTTTTCTATCAATTTTTCTGTTTGTGAGGATTAGGAAATTCCTCAGTATAGACACACATTAACCATTTGTGACATCATTCGAATAGTGTTTGTACTATGCACCCGGGACTTCAATACCATAGTTCGAACAAATATGCCAATGAATGTTTTCTTAGTCTGCCATGACTATTATTATTATTATCATTATCATTATTATTATTATTATTGTTTTTGTTATTATTATTATTATTATTATTATTTCCTTTGATTTCTGTTGTATTCACATTTACTTCCGGGTCCCAACTAGAAGCCTAAGGTCAGAAATGGCTTCATGGCATTTTCCACTGATTATTTTATATATATATATATATATATATATATATATATATATATAAAATAATGAGCACCTCGGGCTTAGTACAATGGTTGGAAGAAACATAAGGCTGGGACATGGGTTTCTCTTAATTCGGTCCATTCGTCCTTGGGTTGTGGTCTTCTACCAGGAGAATTATCTATGCATATCTGGAACGTTTTGTTTAGATGGAGAGGGCTTTGTGCATGATATGTGCAGTTTCACGCAAAGTAATCTTTTATAGTTTTGAGATGCTGTTTTGACCGGGAAATTTTACTCACATGATTTTCGATAGTCTTATTTGTTATACCCAATGCCCATATCACAACAGGGATAATCGTAGTTTTAAATTTCCACATTTTTGTTACTTCGATTTGAAGGTCCTTATAATTTTTAGAAAAGTCAATTTTGAGCTACTTGGCGTTTAACTTGCACAAAATTTGCCGTCATGAACAGCTGTTATATGATAAATGTTATGCCATAGTACCTATTCTAGTGTAATGAACTCTCCCATAGATAATAAGTAGGAGTAGCAGTGGCAAGTCTGGCAGAATTGTGTTGAGCGCGTCAGTCGAGATTCGGACAATTGAAGTACCAACCATCACAACTAGATTGCTGCGTCCTTGACTCTTATTTTCCAAGTTCCTAACGTTTTGTACGTCGGACCTAATTTAGGACGACTTATTAGAAATACAAGCCTCCACTGTGAAAATACTCCACAACAATAAATGAACTAGAGTATTTTTCAACCAATAAAAATTCACTAAGTTTAGATAATATAGCAATTACACAGAGGCTAAACTCTATATAACCATGTTTGAATAGACGACAGTTTTTTTTGGTTTTTTTTAACCGTTTGATCCAACGTGCTTATATCTACTCGGCCACAGAGTATTTCACAACTCAGACTGTTTATATTTACACTTTTAAAGAGTGCACATCACCTTATTTCAGATCATTTCAAAAGCCTGTATTTACAGATTTTTAAATCGGAAACTTGAAAAAAATCTCTAGAAAATTATTTCTTTTTATTAAATTTAATGTGGCTTTATTATTATGTTGGTGCAAAAATAATGACGTAAGAATGTCGTTTTTGGACGTACTTTTCTACGTCAAAAAACGACATTCTTACGTCATTATTTTTGCACCAACCTAATATTATCATTATTATTTCAAGAATTATTTTTAGTGGTTACTCGTTCCTTAACAGACAACAAACCGTGCGTTTAAACGATTTCCCGAATGAGCAGAACGGTAGACTTAATCAACGCTGTCTAAAACCGAGGCGTCTATTCAAACACGGACATTCATTAAAAGTAACGTTTGAAGCAATAAAAACTATTCAAGCTTTTGGAAGTAAAGAACAAAGATTATATTTTGACAGTCAAATCTCTATCTATAAAACGCAGGATGTGTACGTCTTTGTAACGAATGCACGGCCGCAATTTTCGACGGATTTGCACCAAAATTTACATGCCCATGCTCCAAGTTAGCGGGAAGGCCAAGACCGACTTTGCATTTCCCAACTCCCATCGATAGTGGAAATAATCGATTTTTTCATGCTTCTACGACAGTTTTCATGTAGTTTGCGGCCATTTTCTACTGGCCAGAGTGAGAGCCTATAGCTGGCTGCCACGAATAGGCAGGAAGATTCTATTGGCCAGCGTGAGAGTCAACAGCTGACTGACACGAATGTTAACTAGCTTGCTAGCATGCACAAATAATCGATAGCTGCATACGTCACAAGTGGGAAAAATTTAAATCTGCATGACACTTTACTCCAATTGGCTCATTCGCTTGCTTAAACTCAACGTTGATTCTGATTCCACAGAACTGGGTTGAGTGTGAAAAAGTATTTGTTGTTAACATTCTTTTTTCATTCGGTTTTTCCAGTTACAAGTCCTTTTTTAAAGCTGATCGTTTTGTGTTCATTTTGTTTAGTTCTTTTTTCGTAACAGATTTAATGTTTAGTATAGAGCACAGCAAAGGGCACTCCTTTAAAGGCAAGGAAGGGCAAAAATATTTTAAGTCAAGTGATAGCGATTGCTGTATGAGTCGTACGATTTTTGAATCAAGCACGGGCAACGTGTGTTTACCTATATATATATATATATATTTATATATATATATA